CCCCCCCCACCTCCCACCTCCCCTCTCTCTTATCTCTCTGTCTCTCTTTCCCTGCACTCTATGACCGCTATTGTGTCGACGTGCTTGCCTCTCTTTACTCAAACATGACTTTTTTTTCAGCACTGGTGAAATATTACAGCAGTAAAAATGTTGGCGATTGCACGAATTAAAGAACGTATTTTTTTCTCCACTTTTCCAGAAAGACACGTTGGGACAATGGCTGTTTGACAGAGTCTGTGAAAAGCTGAATCTGGTGGAGAAAGATTATTTTGGTCTGCGATATGTGGACTCAGAGAACCAGCGGGTATGTACTAAAATGTTTTGTTCTGCTTCTGTTATCATTTTCTACTTCTTCTACAAGTCATTTTTATTGTGTTTTTCCTCACTACTATTGTAATATATATGTATGCCATTATTTTTTACTTGGGCGTCCCTCAACAAGTGTGGAGAGGGGGGGGGGGTTGGTGGGTGCTCTGGTGTGGTTTGCTTCTTCTTCCCTATAATAAATATAATATAATATCATCCTTGTCTCTCCTCCTTTTCTTTGTATGTTACTGTCTATACTCTATATATAGCAACACATCTAATCTTCGGCTCTTATAGTCTTATACTCTGGCCCATGTGTGTTGCAAGTGCCGTAAAACTCGTATCACTTCACCTATCCCATAGACTGGATGTCCGTCGGGGCGCTTTTGAAGATTTGACCCCCATCTTCCTCCACTCCTTCCGGTCTTCAGCTTTCCTGAGCGTGTCTTTGTGGTCCAGGCCTGTCCGTTCCTTGATGTTGTCCTCCCAACTCTTCTTCGGTCTGCCTCTGCTCCTTTTTCCCTGGATGCTCGAATAAGAACGATATTTAAAAAAAAGAACCACAACCCAGAAAAGGGTACCCTTCAACCCCCCCTCCCCCCACACACAAAACAACACACGCAATAGGTGTATTAATTTTGGTCTTTGGGTGGGATAAGTATGCCATAATGCACACCAAAGCAATGGGTTTGTTTCAGTGTCCTGATTTACAAAGATATACATTTATAGAAGGGACAGCAGAGCATCTAGTCTAAATACGTGTAGCGAATCTTCAGACACTTGACTTGTCATTTTGAATTTTTCTTTTCTGTCAAAGAAGAAGTGGCATTGGTTCGTCTATTGAAAATATATTATTGTAACATAATGGTTCTTGGGACATAATGATCTTGTGCTATGTTTTGTCTCTACTTGTTCTTTTGCTTTTTAGGTCCTATTCTTTTGAAACCAATAAAGCAAGACTGTTGGGTTCCATTAGAATTGGTCGCTTTTAAGGACTAGCGGGCTAACCCAGATTTCGGGGGTTTCCAGAAATCTTGACCCACACCAAAAGTGGGCATTGCCCTACTTATAGGAGAACTTTGGTTTTATCGGGTCAGAATAGCACTTTCAGTTATGGTGGTTTGGTTTGTGTGGAATGGTCAGTGTGTGTGCGTTCATGATTTTTTAAAATTTATTTTATTTTATTTTATTTTATTTTATTTTACTTTATTTTATTTTATTTATCTATTTATTTATTTATATTTTTTTTAAATATTATTTTTATTATTGTTATTATTATTATTTTTATTTTTTATTTTTTTTTTTTTTTTTTTTGGGGGGGGGGTATTCTTAAGTGATGATTTCCTCTTGAGATGTAATGATGGGCTGTTATCATGGCAGGTATGCACTTCTAATAATCCATGCATTATCATGTGATCATGAGTAGAGCGACTAAAGAAATTATCTGTCCCGTGTACATACATACCCTCAAGACATTCTTAAAGGACATCATGAAATAGATTTGATAAGAATAATCTGTAAGGGGTCACAATATTGGGCAAAGTAAGACGTAGATTTTTTTAAAATAGGAAGTGACGACACTCGCAAATGCATACATAGGCGCGCGGGACACATTAAATATTTTCAGCTGGAGGGAAATTTTGAATTTTGCCCCTTATCTGAGAAGGCTAGATGTTAGATTTTACCTACTACAAGATGAGAGGTGTTGCTGAAAGGCAGCAATAAGTAGGAGCCAAGAAGTTGCAGGAGAGAGGCTACAGAAAGAGTCATGAGCCCAGAGGACGGGGCAAAGGAGTTGAGGGGGTGGGGACAGAAAGTCGAGACGAAAACAGACAACAGAACATTGTTAGAGAGCAGGAAAGGAGGTGAAAGGAGAAAAGTTTTAGAGATGAAAAAGTTTCTTCGCTGTGCAGATTCGAACCCTGGACCTGTTGAATGAGGGGTGAACACCGTAAGCTCTCGACCACGAGACCCCCCCCCCCCAGCCCAGCTTTTGCTTGAAATATAGGTTGTTTACTGTAAACTTGTTTCCCTCATTTTCTTTGTTATGTATGCTGTAATTTATTCATCTTTTTTTCCACAGCATTGGCTAGACCCCCTGAAGACGGTGTACAAGCAGTTGAAAGGTATGCAATTTTTAAATAATAACAATTCTTTGTCTAGTTATATAGATAGACACATGTTCACTGGCGAAAAAACTTTGCTGCACTTGGTTAAGTTAAATCTGCACCTTTTTTTTTCAAATCTGAGAAGCCTTTTATAACAAAGAGTGTAAACGGTGTGGTGATAGTGGAAAAGGTTGTGGGTGGGTTTTTGCCACAAAAACCAAAATAAAAGAAACAACGAGAACCCCCAGCCTTACTTTACCCCTCCCCTCCCCTCCCAAACAAAACTGTTCTCTCTTAGTTTATCGGTTCCTAGAAAATAAGACTTGATTAAGAAGATTGAAAGGGCAGACAGTTTATCACAGCAATAAACCAGTGCTTGTCAACATATTTATAGCCTGTGCCCACTTTTGCCATCTTACTTCAAGAAGCTTAAATGTTTTTTTCGCCGGCCTACGTGTACGGACTGTCTCGAACCTGCCTTAACGACCACCCGACCAGGACGATCACCTGTGCAAACGACCATTTGCCACTCCCCCCCCCCCTTATATTCTCTCTCTCTCTCTCTCTCTCTCTCTCTCTCTCTCTCTCTCTCTCTCTCTCTCTCTCTCTCTCTCTCTCACTTTCTCTCTCTCTCTATCTATCTGTCTATCTATTTATCTATCTGTCTGTCTCTCTGTCTCTCTCTCTCTATCTATCTATCTATCTATCTATCTATCTATCTATCTATCTATCTATCTATCTATCTATCTATCTATCTATCTATCTATCTATCTATCTAATGACTGTCGAAGGCCACCTATCTTAGATGACTACTTTTCTCCTCGACCATTAGTGGCCGTCTTAAACAGGTGCGACTATTTCCACACGGGATATTGAATTATATACCTGTCACTATCCAGATGATCCCCACCGCCCACCAAAATGACCACGTGAACGATACCACCCAGGTGTGCAACAACTGTGATAAAGCATTATTATGATGTACTTTATTTTACCCTCTTTGTAAATAAATGTAGGATGAGAATAAATCGAACATCAGAGACTGATCATCATGGCAGCGACTGGTCTAGCTAGCAGTTAGGCGCTTAATTGGCTGTCTCACACAGATCACATGAGTTCGATTCCCATGTGGAGATTATTATTTAATCTATTTATGTATTTTTTAAATTACTTTTTTCTTTCTAAGCATCTATCTTTGGCTGGTGGAACGTTGTATCCTTTTCAGCCCCGGTTTGCCCAAGATGGGCTGGATAAAAGCAGCCCGAAGCCTAATCATGGTGTAGTTTGTGTTGAAGGGGGCGTGAAACATCTACAGTTACATACACACAGAGAGTCATCGTCTGCAGGGCCCTTGTGTCTGTGGCGAGAAGCACACATTATACATAGTGTGTAGTCCTCCGTCTGTGGTCTTGTAGTTACGCTACTGGACTCGTCAACGTGATATTGCGGGTTCGGGGGTTCGAGCTTCTGCTCGGTGCGACGTTGTGTCCCTGGGAAAGGCACTTCGCACGAGTTTCCTCTGTTGGCTCGGCCCTTTCGGGGATGGACGTTGATTAAACTCCGAGGTCCTGCCTCTTAAATAACCTAATAGTGTTGATAGTCAAACGTATGCCATTCAACAATTTCGGCCCATGTAATAATTATGTGTCTGTAAATATGAGAGAGAAGCTTTCCCAGATGGGGTGATAGTAGAAGAATGTCGCAGTCGGACAGGGCGACTTGCCAATAGCTTAATCGACGTATTGTCGTTGTGCGGTTTACCTGCCGGGAGCTGTCTTCTCTGGCTCGACAGAGGTTGGCGTACAATAACCCGCTAGCTAGTGTCTACGGACGCTAGCTGCCGCCATACACTCCTTGCTCCCGCGGTGCTCATTGGCAAGATCGGTTCGTTTCGGTTCTGATCAGATCCTGTCGTCGGGGCTAGCCAGATTTTCCTCCATGGAGGGAGTGAAGCTACCATCGTGGCACAGACCGAATGAAACCGACGATGACTTTCAAGAACAAACGTGTTTGCTTTCAAGGCCGCGAGTCTGTTTGAATCAGGGGTCTATTTACAGCGTACACTTCTGTCATACTTAAACCAGTCCATGCCTTGGTGTTATCGGTCCACGTTGTTCTTTGTCCACCCTTGGCCCCTTTTACCCCTACATCTTGGCTTCGAGTATTTCCTCCATAATTATTGGTTTAGTGGCGTTTTATATGGCCAAAGTACTACTACGGTATGAGTGGCCCTGGTTCGACTTCTTGGCATACCGTGGGAGTTTTCAGGGCATTCCACCAACGTAGTTTGGACTTATCTTTATGAACGTTCAATTTCAGAATTTATTGGTAAGGGCGCACCATTTTCATACCTGAACAATTTTGCTTGCTTTTCTTTCTTATTTTGTTTTGTTTTTTAGCTACCGTAGTAAAAAACAAAACAAATCAAAACAAAATACCCCCCCCCTAAAGTACAAATGAACAAACTAACAAAGAAAACAACAACCCATAAACAAGAAACCTCTGATGTAAAACGTCACGGTCCAAATATTTGCGAATAACAGAATCTCCAGACACTGTGGTATGGTTTTTCCTCTACTCCGCTTCTGCCCGTGAAGAGACTCACTCATGTTTTCTGTATGCACGGCATGCTCTCATCACTCGGTCACTGGCAAAGAATGTCCCGGAAATTAGAGCGTGAAGAGAGCATGATGATGCTCCTTCACGAGCATGGAGGTTGTTTTGTTTTGTTTTTGTTATTTATTTACGTTTCAGCTGTGGTAAGGATGACTGTGTTATCATGCCGCTCGAATTATCAACAGCTGTGTCTGAGAGAATTATTGATCTTGTTGAACTCAATGGTTTTATGTGTCATCTTCCCTCTTGAGCTCAAATATGTGTACTCTTCCCCTCTGTGTCCACTCTGCATACCTTTACAGTTTTTTGAAATACAGATTGGCGCTCATGTGACCGTGGGCTTATGCAGTTGCGAGCGCCGTAAAACCTTTACTAAAGCTAAACTGAAATACAGAACATCCGCTATGTATGACAGTATTGACAGAGAAATGTAAAACCAAGGGAGGCTGAAACAACTGCTATGTTTCTAAAGGTATAGAAGATCAATCATCACTGTATATTTTAGCATTCTTTAGGTGCATAGAAAATCTACAATCATTGTATACTGTAGCATTCTTTTAAGGGCATAGAAAATCTACAATCATTACATACTTTAGCGAGCATTCTTTTAAGTGTATAGAAAATCAACCATCATTATATACTTTAGTATTCCTTTAAGTCTATAGCGAATCTTTAGCATTCTTTAAATTGCATAGAAGTCAACCATCTTTACGTACTTTAGTATTCTTTAAAGTGTATAGAAAATCTACAATAATTACATACTTTAGCATTCTTTTAAATGCACAGAAAATCTACGATCATGACATACTTTAGTATTCTTTTAAATTAAGTGCATTGAAAATCTACTATCATTATACTCACTTTCGCATTCTTTTAGCTAGTTAAGGGTATAGAAAACCCACGATCATAGGAATGATCATACTTCACTTTTTGTTTGTTGAATATATAGAAAATCCATGATCATTATATACGTCTTGTACTTAAGTATTTTTTTTTAAAGTGTAGGAAAATCCACGGTCATTACGAATAAAGTGATACATAAGCCTCAACAATCGAGCATGAGTAATGTGCGCGTATAGGGGTTTCTTTACAAGCCTTTTGTGATTTTTATTTTCAAGTTATATTAGTCTTCTTGTAGTTGTAGCTTTACTAATCATTCGTTCGTTCGTTCGTTCGTTCGTTCGTTCGTTTAATTATTTATTCATTTACTCATTTATTCATAATTTATTTATTTATTTATTTATTTATTTATTTATTTATT